TCACATGATCAACAACCGGATGTTACTGCAGGCCTTGTTAACATTGTTTTAATTGCGTTTCTTATATATTGTGAAACTGTATTTCTTCAACATTAGCAGAACATCGACATCGTAATGGAAATGAAGCTACTGGAGACTTGTGCTAACATGTTACCAGGAGTGACTCTGTGACAATTAAAAGGTGACCTTCACTGAGTCAGAAGCAGAAACCCAGCAGGTTAAAGTCATTGGAATCACTGCTGCAGGCTGAACACGGTGCTTCATGTTATCTGTGGCTGACATGTCAGTAGCAATGGCTCCCAGCTTTCTGTTGAAGCTACTAAGAAAAAAATCAATACAGCACAGAAAACCATGTACTTGCAGCGCAGCAGTCAAGAAACTTCTTCAAAAACACTTTTTATATTAAAGCATCATGGATAACTGCATGCCTGTGATGTCTAGAGTTTGATGCCAGAACAGTTTCAGTTTCTCCCTGTAGCTCAGTATAAAGAGTAAATTTATGCTTAATCTGCAACATTGCTGGCTAAAATGGGAAGCGCCTGAAATGCTTTTCCTTTTCCACTGCAATCTCCACTGACCACGCCTAGGCCGTTCAAAAGACGAGTGATGCAAGGCGAGTCGTCTGCTGTTGGTTTCCGGCAAGCCGGGCGTCTTCGGTAAACGCTGAGGCTGCATTTATTAAAAGGCAGAACTCAGCCCAGATTCCCAGCTTCACTCAGGTGGTTCGTAAACATCAGAACAATAGTTACTTTAACCAACCAGGAAGCAGAACTGTGCAGTGAAATAAATGCTTTCACCTCAAGCTGTTTACCAACACACAAACTACTACTTCACCTCTTAATGCTGCAAAATGAGCATTTCTTCCACAAGGCACATAAAGCCTTTGAATGATGGAGGTGTTTATGAGTATTTAAAATGATCGTTTTGAATATATATGTAAGAAAGTGTAAATATTGCATTGTGTCTCAGAGCATCCTGTCAGAATGTATCAGTTTGGATTCTTTATTCAGTGAAATCTGCAGATCAATACCTCTGATCCAATCTAAAAGCACATCTTTAAAGTAAGGATGGGCGATGTGGACTTTGAGTTTTATCTTTATATTCTCAAGTACCAATGTGATAACAAAGATTATGGTAAAAAAATATTGATTATAAGAATTTTTCCACAATAAATGCCCATCTCTAACCTAACGCTGGTCAAACTGGACAGCTGCTTGTTCCTGGTCACAGTTTGTTCCATCTGCTGCCGTCTGGCTGCAGATCCAGGAGCATAAAAGCAACAACTAACAGACTGAACAACAGTTTATACCTGGTAGCCATAAGAGCATTAAATACCCTGTAGTACTATTTTTCACCAATTTCGTTATAATCCATGTAACTTATTGCATGGTTCTATAATGACAATAAAGATTGTTATTGTCATTGTAGAACAATAACAATATTACAATAAGTTGTAATAAAGCTACAATTTATTATTGTAAATGTTGCTTCAGAAAGCCGGTTTCTGTGAATCGAGTCTCTTACTTGCGACCAGACACTCGTCTTCCAGCGGCCTGAAGAAAACGGTGACTTTGTCCAAGTCCAGCAGCGCCGCCTTGGTGTCCTCCAGCATGGTGCGCTCCGCTTTCTGCCACAGGACAGACAGAATGAAAGCTCTGAAGTCCAACAGGACTAGTCAAAACCCGACCCATCCAGAACATCTAAGTCAAAAAGAAAACTGAAGGCCTTTTAAAAGTATTCACATAAAATAATTTGAGGATTTGTATAATTTCAATTTCTCTTTTCAATAATGCACCACTTTCTGTTAATCTAGGAAAATTCACTGGGTTTGTGCAGGGCCACATTTAGAAGAATAAGACCTTTCTAACATCTGGCCCAGAGTTGGTGGTTTCTGGAACAAAAATATGAACGTCTGGACTCACTAGGTGTGGAGCCAGTGTGGACTGGAAGTGCAGCAGAACACCGATGACGGATATCTGCTCCAGCCACTTGCGGCTGGTCTCCTTGCTGTCCTCCTGGTACTCTCCAGCGTTGTTGAAGCGCGAGCGTAACGCCGTCAGCAGCTGCTCCGCCAGCGTGCAGAGGGCGCCGGCCGCCGCCTGGCAGAAGATCACATCCCGCCGCAGCTGCAGAGACGTGTCTGCACATGGAAGCAACAATAAGGTGAAGCTGGACTGTAACCTTTAATGCCACAGAGCGTGTGCACTCTAATATTCCTATTCTATAGAAGTGTGGTTCTGAACACATTTTAGCTCTAACCTGTACATTTGAGCAGAGCCAGGAGAAGCTGGTTTTTCCCGTCTGTGGGAGCAGAATGAAAGCGAGATGAAGCAGCTGACAGTCTGAGGGAACATGAGAGCAGCAGCTCGTCTTCTGCTCACCATCCACGAATCTCTGCAGGCTCTCCACCAGGTTCTTGATGGAGTGGGGCAGGTTCCAGGGATCCTCCTGGATGTTCTTGTGGATGACATAGCGGCTGCGGGCGGTCCAGTCTTCAGTCTGGCGGAACTCTGTCCAAAGGAAAAAACGCTTTAAAGGAATAAGCAGCATGTGATTTCCTCTGTCACAGGGTGGATGTGTACCTGGCTGACTGTGGTCTGAGTAAAAGTGCTTGATCTCCTCACAGGCCTTCGTCATCACAGATCCTTTGAGGAGGCAGTTGATTGATTCAACCTGCAAAAAGATCAGCGGATCAGGGGTGGTACCAACTAGTTAACCAGTACACTCTTCGACTCTTTGCTCTGCAATGACTTTTTATGGGGCCAGTCCACTAGTCACAATCATGTGACAAAACTGATTTTTCCAAAAAAAAATGAAAGAAAGTAAACTAGATGAGTTCGTCAGACAGCTTAAATTGTATAAAAATGTAAATAATTTACTAAAGAGAAACTGAAAATTTCAGCAAGGGCTACTGGAATGGACGCTGCGTGGTACATTGGTTAGCGCGGCGTTCTCCATAGAGACTGTAGACTGCCGTAGTCTAGAGACCAACTCCCGTCCTCGGTTCGCTGGGCCCATGCCTCTCTCCCTCGCTCCCCTCTCCCTGCCCCCTTCCTGTCGGACTGCTGTCAAATAAAGGCAACTAGTGCCAAGAAAATATTCTTTAAAAAAAGACTACCAGAGTAATGTGAGACAATGCGACACAATCTGGGCTGTTTTATCCCTCCAACTGATCAGCAGCACTCTGCTTATTGAAGCTTCTAACCTGGCAGCTTTATGCTCTTATAAAAATACTATTTGGCAAAATCTGGAAATGAAGTTAAAGCTTCACTCTGAGGATCTGATAGAGGGGATCTCTGCCTCTATCAGATAATCTCTGACTGCATGTCGGTTCATCCCGTAAAGTCAGAGAGCTGCTGCTGAGTCAGCGGAGCTTCCTGCTGTGCATCGGGGCGAAGGAGCAGCAGGTGGCAGCACTGAATTCAACTGTAACCAAACGGGCTCCGTTCATAATAAGTTTGGTTTGTGATGTTCCAGAAGCACCATTGTGGTCAGTGTGATCATTTGACTCCTATATGTGCAGCTATCCAGAGATCATCAGTATCAGTCGGTGTTTGGGGGAAAAAAAAAGTTTTCTGACTTTTCTCCTCTGCTTGCGAAGAAGTCCGGGATAATGTTCTGTTTCTTGTTCTTTTAATTCTGCATAACAGACTTAGTAAAAGCGTTTTTTTTTTTATCAATATTTGTCATGGATATAGATGATAAAGCCTCCAAGTTGCTTTAAAGCAACTTGGAGGCTTTTATGATGTATATTTGGCGCCTTAGACGCTTACGTCTCTGACGTCACTGCAACTAGTCGACCTCGACTCTACTTTTATCATGTTGTAGTCGACCCTAAAAATATGAAGTCGTTCAACCACTAGGATGAGAACATCTGTATGAAAACTCAACATTTTCTGCTTTGTATTTCTACACAAACACTTTTTAACCCTCAGTTTCCAGCCAAACTGGTTTCTCTCCTACTGACAAAACGAGATGAAAAAACCAAATGAATCCTTTAAACAGAGTCCATGTTTCGCTGAAACATGGACTCTGTTTAAAGCTAACAAATGTTTAAAGCTAAACATTTGTTAGCTTTAAGCAGCTAACAAATGTTTAAAGCTAAACATTTGTTAGCTTTAAGCAGCTAACAAATGTTTAAAGCTAAACATTTGTTAGCTTTAAGCAGCTAACAATGTTTAAATGTTAGCACCAATTAAACATTCAGCCAATGAAGTGCAGCTGCTCAATCTCAATGCCACTCTAAATATTATTAATATTATCATCAATAGTAGAAAAATAAGTAAGTAACTGGGTTGGTTTGATTCCAAAAGTCCAACTGAAAAGATGTAAAACTATTAAAAGTTGAATTATTTTTAGATTGTCACATGTTGATCAGATTCTGTTTTGAATGTCAACATAAATTTATGAAATATAATGAACAGACTTGAGCTCACCTGGTTGAACAGGTGCTCCAGGCAGCCATGCAGCTTGTCCTGCTTGTCAGAGGGAATCCTCATGTCACAGGGCAGCTCGTCTCCTTTGGACCCAACAAAAGGTTAAAGAAAAGGTTCAGAACGGGAAAGAAGAAACAAAGGCTAAGCATTTTTTATGTTGCATTCTTCAATGAAAGCACACATTTAGAAAGAAGAATCAAGGAAATGAATAAAAAGTTTCTGATGAATCTGATTATTTAGCCTTAGCATCTAAAGTTTGCATCTTTTTGTATAAACAGGAAACAAGAAACAAATCTGAGGAATTTCCATAAAATACTGACTTTCTCCAGAATGTGAAAGTCGTTTGTTTTGTCATCCAGTTTACATCATGACAAAAATTATTTAACCAGAAATCCAAACACAGCAGAATATTTGTGACTGATTCGATCTTGTCCGTTACCTGATCCCATCTCATCACTCCCCAGGTAAGAACTGTTGCTTCGCACACTGGTGTAGGACAGAACTGAGTCCCGGTTGCTGTTGCATTCACTGCAAATATGCAAAAAAGCACAAGATGACCGAGTAAGTGTTTGTTATAAAGCAGCGTTCTTAAATCACAGAGGATTTATATGGTAGCGTTTCATAATTATGCGTCCCGCTGATTGTATGTGACTTTTTTGATTTACAGAGGGTGAGACCAAGCATAATTAAATGCTAAAAAATGTTTAGATTCACACATAGAAGCACCCATAAAAGTTTTACTAAGAATACATTCCTGCTTTTACAGTTTACATAAACTGGTTTCTTTAAAGCAACCTCAAACAGGTTTCAGCAAGTCAAATTTAAGACTTTTTAAGAGCTTTTTAATGCCAGGTTGAATTAAATTTAAGACTGAAAAAACCCTGTAAATATAGGGGATGATTAGGGGATCCTGTTGGCTTGTACTGGTTGGGAACAGAAGTGGGCCAGTGGTAAAAACAAACGTCGTCCAACCAGCTGGTGATACGTTCACACCATGACAGACACAAAAAAAAATGCAACTAGCTAGCTAGGGTACATTAGCAGCTAGTTTCAGACCACCTGGAGTCACAGAAAGTCTGCTAGAAAAAAAACTATAAGCCTGAACCGTCCTTCGATTAGCATATCTAAGACCAACTTTTATTTGTTTTAAATTCATTTTAGACATCTTAAGGCCTTCAGTTTAGATGCATGAACTCAAGACTTTTTAATGATGTGTGGACACCCTGTGCTCTGCTCACACAATTTCTACCTTCCCAAGACAGTTCTGTAAAATAAGGCATTTATGGTCATACATTACATGATTCAACATGATGTCTGGGAGTGTGTGGAGGATTTATGCGGCTCAAATTATATACAGAGCTAAGCGAACGCTCCTGAAATCCCCTTAGAGGAGCTCTGAGTGATTCACAGCCGTGTTACCAGGACAAAAGGCCGACCAGCGATTATGAGGTCCAAAAATGACAACTGTGGCTTTGTCTTCCTCTGGCATCAGGCTGGGTTGGATGAAAAAAGAAAACAGGGGAGCTAGGTCTGGAATTCACCTGCCTTGTTATTCTGAGGTTTCCAGTGTGTATTTGTGCTGGTTGGCTAGTGGAACCGCAGAGGCAATAAAACTCAGGGGAGAGTTCATGTAAGTTGGTTGAGTCCCCCATCTGGATATGTGGATGTGCACTTGGAGTGTATTGGGGTGTATTCAGACAGTCACACACTTCCTGTGTGTGACTGTCACACACAAAGCAATTTTCCTAATTTAGCCTCAGAAAGCTGCAGCCAAATGTGTGAGCGCCGCTGAGATAATTACAGTTTGTAGTAACAGGTTTGCCTGGAACGTAAACCCAAAACAAACAGAACTGCTCACAGCTCAGATAGACTATACACAGATTAATTTATCTGCAGATCCAAAACCGTTAGGAGAATACAACACAAAGTGAGCAACAGCTTCACTTTGACATTACTCCTGTTTATCTTACAGACTGGATTTGTTGCATCATGTGTTGTTTTCTTCCAAGACAAAATGCTCATAAAATGCCACAACTCACTGCAGTCAATTACATTTCCAAGGCTGACACATCATCAATAAATGCATTTCAACAACCTGAAGAAGGTTATGCAGTAAATTCTAACTGAATTACATCCTCTGAACTGTAATCTGTCACAACTGGATGCAGAGTTTAGAATAAAAGCACTTCCTCCTGCTCGCATGAATCAGGGTTTCTCACCTCTTCTGTGTCACTGAAGCACATCACCATCACACCACTCTTAGCTCTGACTGCACATCCAGACAGACTTCTCTACAGAAAGGCTAGTAGCTCTGAGTTACATCTTTTATTTGTCTTTTTAAGATTCTGCAAAAAACGTCACATAAATTTGGCCTGTCAATAATTTTTTTCTGGACGATAAGCTGCCCCAGACATAAGTGCAATAAACAATAATATTGTTGCTTTATGAGCATTTTCAAGTAATATAATGATGAGATAATAATGCAAGATCACATTGTCAAAGATCAATAAACTTTAATATATAAAAAACATTCAACACTGAATCTGGAAGATGTTTTAAATACCTAAAATAAAATTTCAAGAACAATTAATTATGAAGACAGTGTAAACAAAATTGTACTTCAAAAAATGTCTAGTTGAGACCAAAGCAGCAGACCGAAAACATTCATCATCCAGTTTTTGGTAGAAAGAGAGAAAAGAGAAAATCCTTTTATTCTGTGATCAATTGATTTATTGCTTATTACGACAGGCCTAATCTACATGTCACTTTCTTTGCTCATCCCTTTGTAAAAAGTGTGTATAATTAAATGTCTGCCACAAAGTCCTGCCACTGGATGCAGTGATTTTGAAAAGGGACAGCAGCATCAAACCTGAGTCTCTAGTTTGCATTTGGGTATTTTGTGGTTTTTCTCTTTTAAAACACAGCAGCACATTTATGTGCATTTCATTTAATTGATTCCCTTTTACTGAGCCTTAATCTACTGCTACCTTTCTGTCTTTACACACCTTCTGTGTGTGTGTGTGTCTGTGTGTGTGTGAGCTGGTGCATATCGCTCTCCCCAGAGCAGCTACGGTTTCCTTTGCATTTTATTACGATGAGGTGGCTGTGTTTCACGTGGCGGGCCTGGCTCTAATGACAGAGCTGGCGAGGGGGCCGCACCCTAAACAGTTTGGCTGTATTACACAGCGGCCACCACACCAACAACCAATAACTGCATCTTAGTGGGTGGTGTGGAAGGTGGGGCTCGGTGGAGCTCGGCCCAGCGCGCTACGCACGCACACAGAGCGCTGAATTAACTCACAACAAGCAAAATGACATAAGCAGCCCTGACCAAATCATTTTGAAGTCATTTTTAGCTCCCAGTCAGAATGCCAACATCTGGGACTAATTGTAGCCTGCAAGGGGGGAAATGAGAAGCATTAAAACTCAGAAAAAAGGGAGTCTGAATGTTGTTCATGTTTTATGGAAGTAGTAGCTCCAGAAAAAAAGAGGTGTTAACAATATAAACTCCATTTTTCATTAACAGGCTATCATTTCTAGGATTTATGGTGACCTAGTTGAAAGCACTGGTGAGTTTTAGGCGGGACCTGAGGAAGCTCACCTGTAGGAGTCCCTGTAGCTCATGGTGTCGTGCCCAGAGTCCTCCTGGTCCTCCTCATTCACCTTGAAGCAAACCTTTTTAATGCCTCCTGGCTCTGCTTTGTCCTGCTCACAGCCGTCATCGCAGGGGGCCAAAGGCTGACCCGACTCGTCAGTGGGGGGCCCCCCGCCCTCCCCATCCAGCTGGGTGGGTTCAGTGATGGACGACAGGAGGCTGCGGAACCAAGAACAATGAGAAACATTTTGTTTTTTGTAACATTATTACCATTTAGCCTAAGGCGTTCTTATAACCAAACCAGAGCAATGTGCTGATATTTATGTTTAAATAAACACTGCAAAGTGAAACAGGCACATCTATTCATTCACACCCCTTCCTCAGCATAAACACACAATGTGCATCTCTTTCTCTGGATGTTATCTTGGACTCACTCCCTGTTCCTGTTCTGGGTCTGTTCCAGAAACGTTTTGGGGCTGAAGAATGTCCCTTCTGTAAACCGAGGGCTTTAAACAAGGCAAAGGGCAGACAGAAGCATGGGGGGGGCGTGGCCTGGGTTAACAGCATGGGTTTGTTTCTTTGCAGACAGACGGTAAACTCTGACCCAACAGGTGATGATGATGATGATGATGATGATGATGATGATGATGATGATGTACAGCTCACAACCAGAACAGAGGAATGGAAATATATGAAAGAAGCAACAAGACGATAGAAGATTTTACGATGAAACACAACAAAAAATATTTTACACTTGATTTTTTTTCTTTACATTCCAGTCAGAAGTGTATATGCACTCATTGTGTGCATAAAAGTAATTCATTTTGGGATTTTACATATGTTCCTTTTTCAGAATGGAATGATGATACAATAAACAACTTTAATGATTTTCAAAGAACATGAAATTAGTGTAAAGTTTAACATTTATTGTGGCTATAAATAAACTTAATTTGGCTCAACGTTTCAGCTGACAGAATGTGGATGTGGTTGAGGTACAGCCTAGCATCACCCTGCTTTATCTATTTATTATCTGTTTATGATTATTTTGGGGTTGGAACACCCATTTGTAGAGAAACTGTCTACATTTCATCAGCTAAACATGGAAGACTTCCTCCATCCTCATTATGCCACTCACTTTGTAAAACTGTGTTCTAACCTTGAGCCTCATTTAAACACACATCTAACCACTGAATCCAAACAGCTAAATCTTTGGTCAGACCTTTGAATAAGGTAAATTTATTTATATAGCACGATTTCAGCAACAAGGCAATACAAAGTGCTTTACATGAATTAAAAGTTAATACAAACAATATAACAAACCAAAGGAAAGAGCAAAAGAAGAAAAAGAATCAAATAATGTTGATCCAAAGTATATAAACTAGACAGAATATGGCAGCTACCCTTAAAGGTGTAGTTTAGGGGTGTTAAACTTCTCTAAACTGAGATTCAGCAGCTTCCACTTAATGACAAGCTGGGGTCTTTCGGCTGTTTTAGTCATTTCTAAACATCTGAACCAATTTCCTTTCGTCTCCGGGAGACACTTTGGAAACTGGAATCTTCTGTTCCTACAAGACAAAAGTCCCGAAGCTTGTAGAACAGCCTTAAACTATATAAATTCAATGATTTAAATCTACAAAGAAGACTCTTCAAATTTCCAGCAGAAATTCTTCCAGAAGTTTGTTGGTGGCTAGAAAAATGTGAGTGATTCCCCAGCAACTGGCTAATGGACATTTATCCAAATATTATATGAGTATTCATTGATCAATTCCATCCTTATTTCCAGAAAGCTAGGAAACAGGAAATAGGAAAGGACAGGAAAGGAAAACAAAGGAAAAGAGAGGAAAGTAAAAGAAAAAACGTAGGACATGAGGATGCAAGGCCAGAAGGGCACAGTGAGGTAGGACACAAGGAAGAAAGAAAGACAGACATCAGGAAACATAGATAAACACAACAAGAAAACAAAGAAGAAAGGAAAAAAACAAAGAAAGGAAGGAAGAAAGGCAGAAAGGATAAACACAAGCAGGCAAGAACTGAAAGAAGGACTCAACAAAGTTCATAAGGAAGACAGGAAGGAGTTGAGGAAGGACACAAGGAAAAGAGCAAGAACAAAAAGCACAAACAATTTTCAAACAATGGGAGAGATGTTGAGTCTGGAAAATTGCAATATTTTTTCTCACTTATTTGCTTTCCTTATACTTTTCCAGAGTCCTAGGAATGCTGCTGGATGAAAGCATCTGACCAAAACAATGCTGAAGAGATTTTTTAAGAAGTATTTCAGGTCTTATACTTACACGTCTATTTGAGCAACATATTGCTTCATCTCCCTCACTGCAACGTCCAGGCGGCTGTACAGGTGGATGTAGGCGTCCTGCGTCTCCGTGTCTTCCTGTTTGAGCAGGAAGCTCAGCCCGCCTTCTCCCTGGATGCCCTCGCCTCCGTCCGGGGTTTCCTCTGCGCCGCCGTCGGCCTCACCCCCCTCCAGGCCGGAGCAGGTCCAGGAAGGAGCGCCCATGCTGGTCACACAGTGCTGGGTGTGCGACATGGGGTTGAGCTGAGCTGAAGGACAGGTGAGAAGACGATCACACACGGACACCGCTGTGCACGAAGCGGCTGCTGGAATGAAGAGCACCTTCCATCTCTGGCTGTTATATGGAAGCCAGATGTTGGAAAAGTACGAAGTGACACCACTGTCTGGTCTTCATTTCCTCTTAATGGAAAACAACTTACAAAGCACAACTGTTATGCAGGAAAAATAGCAGGATGTAAAACTGTTTACTTGTGCTAAATGTCAAACGAAGCAGCGAGCTGAAAAATGTAAGGACTGCAGACGGAGTCGATTCGTGTAACTAACCTTAAGAGGGTTTAAACAAAAAACAATCTGTCTTTTATTGTGTGGGGTTAGTTTGTTTGAAATGTTGAAGAAAGGGATGTTTTTCTCCTGCAAATATATTAATTTACATAGAATGTCTTATTTTCCCAAAGAACAACAGACTTCTTGGTCCTTGAACTTTTTTTTGGGATGTTGTTGCATTATAAACACAAACCTCAATGACCAAAACAAAGCAGTGCATAACTGCAAAGGAAATGTATCATATTTTCTTTAACCAAAACCTGGAAAATATTTTTATCTAAACCGCATCAATATTTAGTTCTAATTAAAGCATTAAATCTTTTGGTGTGTCTTCACACATGAAGTGACTCAAATATTCACCCATTGTTCTTGGAAAAATAGTGAAAGCTCAGGTCATCTCTATAATAATTATTCATTTTGAAGTCTTGCCACAGATTCTTAATTAGATTTAGTTGATTTAATTAATTAGATTTAGATTTAGTCAAATTTTAGTCTTTCTAACATCTGAATGTGCTTTTTGATAAAGGAATATATTGTTATTTTGAGACCATTGTTCAGTAATATAATGGTAATGGCATAATAATGCAAATACACTCCATCAGAAATCAATAAACTTTCATTTCTAATGAACATTTAGCATGGTAACTGGAAAACATTTTAAATATCCAAAATAAACAAAGCAACAAATAAAACAAATTATGAAGTCTCTGTAGACAAAACAGTCCTTAAAAAAACACCAGCCTACTTGAGACAAAAACACCAAACTGAAGACTGTAATCAACTAGTTTCTGGTATAATGAGTGAAAAGAGAAAAACAAATAATCATGGAAATGAAAATTATTGAGCATGTTTTAATTTATCATGCCATTAATTTATTAATTGATTTATTGCTTAATGGCCATGTTTGGTTAGGTTTGCATTCATAGCAAACTGTTTCCACTAGTGGATGATGGGTTGATGAGTGTCAAAGGTCAAAGGATATTGTTTCATAACTTAAACCTGTATAAAGTGCCTTAACCCTTGTATGTAGAAATGGGGTCCAACCGACCCCACACATGTAAAACTTGTATCATTTGCCATAGTCCTCTACGTCTGCCTCAGTCCTCACACACACAAGGGTTAATGTTCTCTAACAAACAGAGAACAGCTGCATATATGCTGAGATGAAATTAGACACAGCTGGATTATTTACTTAATGGCTGAGATTAAAACTCCAACAAAATACATTAAAGTTCAAGGTTTTAATGCAAAATGAAAATACTTTCAAAAAACACTGCAAAACTAAGGACCATCGTTCTGCATTGGAAAGCAGATCATCTGACGATGACGACTGCTGGGCAGATATCTGCCTCGCAGCTGGGACTTGAAAGAGAAATGAAGACAAGCCATCCTCTAAAAAGCCAGTGCTGCTGCACAGTCTGCTGTCTAGACAGCTGTGTTGCATTTTCATCTTTGCTGAGAGCAGACATAGCTCAGCAGTTCAACTTAAAAACTCCTAATTAATAACAAGTTCTGTCGTGACAAAGCTGATCAGTGTAGCTAGCTGAAGACAGATGCTTTGCTTCCACACATGCAGGATTTCTAAGATCCTCGTTATTTTTATAGTTAGGTACCAGCTTTTCTCCTTCCTCTCATTTTTACCTTTCAAGTAATGAGAGAACTTCAAACATCCTAAACTTTCTTTGCTGACATCATTCATTCTTTTGTAATGTTCATACTCTGGGAATAGTAGGAGGCTAATGGAGATCTAATAGCAAACCACTCATCTAATTTGTAATGAGAATCCTTCTTGTGGTCGTACTGTGTTACAGTGAGAAGCTGCAGTTGGTGTTCGCTTCTCCATAACCCAGGAATTAAAGAGACACAGATGGTAAGAGGCAAAAATGAACACTAACCCTGGAGTTGAACTCCATCATGGTTGTACTACGGTTAAAAATCTTTTTTATTTAATGTATGTCAGGGACTCAGCAGGTTTCACCAACTCAAATTGAAGACTTTTTAATACCAGTGTGAATGACATTTAGGACAGAAAAGTACAAAAGGAAATCAAATACATAGTAAAAAGCTAAATATAAAAAACTATTTAGGAACAAATATGAAATTCACTATAGATATGGTCACATTAATGCTTTAGTTAAAGACATTAATTAACATTCGAAGACGAAGATGAACGCCAGGCAGCCAAATGATGATAGATTTGCCCTTACCCAAGATAGATGCAAACAAAGGTAGCTAGCTTTTGTTTTGAAAAGCTACTGTGGTTGTTCTAGGGTTAAAGTCTTGTCAGATTAACGAGCTATATCTCTTTGCTAGATAGCCAGAGATATAGCTATGTAGCTAGCAACTACCTGCTATATTAGCAGATAGCTACCAGTAGCCCTAACTGCCTCAAGTCAGAACGTAACGTAGATGTCTGCAAGTGAGTCCAATAGAAAACAGACTCCAACAGAAAAGTCCCATAAGAAAAGAAAAAGATACATAGAAAATACAAGGTTAAATAGTCGTGTCACATCAAATTCTAAGACATGAGATTAACGTCTTTAAGGTCAGCTTACATGTTTTAAATGAATTGAAGATATTTCAAGGGCTTTTTTATATACATGGATGTGAGTATATTTCAGACTTTTTGAGTCTGCATGTGTGTGTTAGCAGTACCTTGGTCTGGGTCCATGCCATAAAGGGAGTTTTTGCGACCAAAGCGGATGCTGAAAGTCCTGCCTGCAGACGTGGTGCTTTTGGGGTACGACACCTGCATCAGGTTGACATGGCAGTTTGTGGGAACAAAGTCCATGCAGCCCAGCAGGTGAGGGCGAACGCCAGCCTGCCTGAAGGACGGCCACACCTTGTTCCTCAGCTCCTTAGCAAACTGCAGCAAGCAATGAAAGAAAACATGAAAACAGAAGCCGGAGGTAAGTCAATCTGGTAATTGGGTAAAGCGTTAATTGATCCAGAGGCAATATTTATGCGACTGTAGGAGCCATTGTGCTGTCTCTGGTCTTAAAAGATTAGATACGTGTTGTTGGACAGCCTGTGTGTATTTGAAGTGCAGCAGATCATTTGGAAGTAGCAAAAATAACTCATAGTGGATTTTATTTATATTTTTGAAAGGTTTGGGGATGTTCCAGGTTTTAAATACATCTTCCCAACCTAACAAAAGCGTGACTCGGTACCTCCTGATAGCTGCTGATACGACGTTTGACGCTCTCCAGCTTGGTGTCACAGATTTGTCTGAACTCGTACTGTGGCATGGTAACGACTCGGTCGCTCTGGGAGATCAGCTGGCTGCAGTTGCGTACGAAGAGGCTGTCATCACCAGAAAACGCCTCAAGGATCTGTGGAGATAAAAACCACAGGACACGGAAGGGTAACAAATGAAAGTTTAGAATATTTGATGCCATCAGTTCCAATCTGATCCAAAGCAAATTTTTCACAAGAAAATTGAATCAATAGAACCAATAAAGTGGCAGCACAAATATCAAACAGTAAACTCTTTTGATTTCGATTGTAACATCATTTAGTAAAACAGCAAACATGACAGACAAAACGATGGAAAAAGTATCTATATCGTTTCACATTCGGTTAGGACCAAACCCTCAATCTATATGAACTGGATTTTATGTGAGTCACCAACACAAAGTGGTGCCTAATTGTAAAGTCGAAGAAAAATTAATGGTTCCTAAATGTATTTAAATAAAGTGCAGAGAACATAAACTGTATTCTGATAGATGGAGAGAAACATAAGCCTGAAATAATCTTCTGTTAGCTACCTTAGCAGTCAGGCCGAAGCAGCCTTTGGGCTCTACCACCTTCTCCAGGACGTGGCTCTTGATTCCAGCGGTGCTCACGTATTCGTAAACCACTCCGTGCTCCAAGTGGACGTTATCCACCGTCAGGGTGACCAGGGGCAGATCAGCGGACAGGGAAAGTCTGCAGAGCCTGTGGTCTGAGGATCGACGTTACACCAGTTAACTTTGCACATTCAGAGACACCCTGTTTCTTTAAAAATGATCTAACATGAAAAATACAATTATACTTGAATATCTAAGATTCAAAATGATTGTAATACAGGAATCCCCTGACTCTAGACAAACACACCTTTCAGTTCCTTAAAGAGGAACACAGTGTGCTTTGGATAGGCATGAAGATCCAAAACTGAGTTCAAATAAACAGTCATACACTAAAATAATAAAACGCTTTTTAACTAGGGCAAAATTAAAACTTTAACACATTAATTTCAAACAATCAATCCCATAGATTTTAATGTGTTAAATTAATTGCTTTTTAATTTTTTAAACATACAAAACTTCTGAGCAGAACCTTTGTATTTGCATGTTTCTGATATGTCCATAAATCTGACGCACAAGCCACATCCACAAACAGTGATGGATGACAAAGCTGCTTTTCTTGGCTCACTGGGGATTCATTTATGCTTCCAAAAACGATCTGATGGAAAAGTCCATTGCTGTGTTCAAGTTGAGCTAAAAGGAGTTAGCATATTAGCAAAGCTATTCAAGGCTAAAACAGCATCTGTCTATGCTAAACATGTATGTGGCGAACGCTGAAGTATGAATGAGTCTAATAGCACTTCGCACCAAACTGATAGTGTTAAATAACATATTAAAAACAATAAATATCTTTGTTGAGCTCCTATGTCTCTTTCTTCCATAATAAAGCAGCAAAAGGGGTTTTTGAATTGAGAATGTTGCTTATTTTATTAATAGTATTTGATTAAAATGTGATTATTGGTAACACTTTATTTTATGGGGTGTGAATAAGACTGTCATGACACTGTCATAAACATGACATAACACCTGTCATGAACATGAATAAGTCTTCATGAATATTTATGACTGTTGTCATAAAGCGTCATTCGGTAAATTATGACACCTTTAATACAAAGTTTACATTATTCAAAATGTCTTTGATATGACAACTTGACATTAACCAAGAAATCATGATCTGAAATAAATCTGTTATAAAAGTATTACCGATTAAACTTTAAAAATTAGCTTTCTGTGGTAATATTATATTGCTCTGCCATTTGTTTAGTCTTAAATTTCTTAATTTAATTGATCCTAAAGTCTTACAGCAAGATGTTTACAATCAGTGTTTCAGAGTAACAATATACTGACCAGACGTTAAACCCTCTGTTATCTTAGAACAAGTTATCTTTTGTTTTATTCCAATGTACAAAGGGTTTGTTCTACAGTTATGATGGTAGTTATAAGTAGTCCAGTGTGTTTCACTTCATTTGAGGTAAGACTTAATATCAATAACTGTTAGCATTGCATTTGACACTGTAATACTACATTACTGTACATCTTTGTAATTGTTGCGACTAGTTTCAATTTACTTGAGGTAAAAGTTAATATTAATGACACTTAATGACTTTGTCATAACTGTTGTTACTTGTTTCACTTTACTTGAGGTAATAGTTAATATTAATGACATTGTAATGACACTTAATGACGTCTTAACTGTTGTAACTTGTTTCACTTTACTTGAGGTAATAGTTAATATTAATGACACTTAATGACTGTCATAACTGTTGTTACTTGTTTCACTTTACTTAATGACACTGTAATAACATTTAATGACATTTTCAGAACTGGTGCTACTTGTTCCACTTGTTGTAAAAGAAATTGTTATTGACTCTGTTATTAAATCATTTGACAGTGTAATAAAGCTTAATGAAATCTTTATTGCTGATCCTACTTGTTTCGCTTTATATCAGGTAGTGGAAATATTAATCGCTCTGTTGTTAAAGCTTTTGATAGGGTTAGTTAAATCATTATGGTTACTATTATGACATATTTATGACATGATTCTTGGTTAATGTCAAGTTGTCATAACAAAGACATTTTGAATAATGTCAACTTTGTATTAAAAGTGTCATGATTTACCAAAAGACACTTTATGACAACAGTCATAAATATTCATGAAGGCTTATTCATGTTCATGACAGGTGTTATGTCATATTTATGACGGTGTCATGACAGTCTTATTCACACCCTGTAAAACAAAGTGTTACCCGATTATTTAACTACAGACACCAGAATTAACTCCATTAAAAATTTTATTTAAGTCCCATCACTAGACAACAGATTTGCAAATGTGCTCAAGATTGCAGTTGGTGTTTATAATTAAACTAAGCTAGCTGCATGCTTTAGGATAAATCTGTGATAAAGGTGGAGGTGTTTCACCTGTTCCATTAGTGGTGGTACCCTCCTCATGATTGGAGCCGTTCTCCACCGGGTAAGGCCTGAATAGACTCTCCTCCTTCTCACCAGCACTGCTTGGTCTCTGGAGCTCCTCCATATCCTCAAAGGCACGATAAACCCACTGACACTAGGATGAAAAATAGATTTTAAAAGATTAAAGCCGTCTGGGGAGAATGGGATTTGTCTGAGTCCAGACGTTAAAATCAATCCACTCCATGGAAACTGGAGCAAATTACCAACGGTGATGCAATGGGATGCAAGAAGAATAATGCCGATTTTTCTTTATTTAAAGAACTGGATTAAAAAAAAATTATACTGAGACATTTTTCAACTGATCCATATAGAGTGATGCCTACTACACAACATTGGAGGGAGAGACTCTGGTTTTTGTGCCCTTTGGGGACATTTTCACTCCAACAGAAGAGCCAGAACTGAATGAAAGAAAGTATTTGATAGCATCTAATCATTTATCCTACTGTTGGCTGAGCCAAACAGACCAGATCAGGCTGTTTGACAGATCCTGTTTGGTACGCTGAAGCAGAAGGGAATAGTCAAAAAAGACAAGAAAAAAAACCTAAACAAAACAGCACTACAGCATACAGAGGACACTCAGTGCTGTCTGCAGCCTTGTGAAATACCGCCTGGAGACACAAAGTGCTGCAACCAGAATGTCAAACCAGGCAGGGAAGAGCAGCTTGAGTGTGTGATAGCAGCCACGCGGTGTGGAGTTTAAGAAAGAGTTTAATGGTGAGTCAGAGCACAGGAATCTAAACCAAACACTTGGCAAAGTCAATGGAAGAGATAAGTTCTTACAATGCCTTTTGAATCCAGGCAAGACGGCATCTTCAACTAAAAAAATGTAATTACACTGATAATTTATGTAAGAGATTGTTAAGCAGATGAAGTTTTAAAAAACAACAGATCTTTTGCTCTTAGGCTAAAATTGTATAGAGAAATGTTTGTGTCTTTGTGTTTACGCTGCTGTCCAAAATAAGAGCAACAGATGAAGATTCCTCACTCTGCTGGATAAAGAAAAGCTGTTTCCTCTTACAGTTCCAGAGCTGGACAGGACTACCTGATGGTTTTAACTGGTTGAACGTCTTTGTGTCAACAGGTTACTTCAGAAGTCACATGGGGGGGGAATCCTAAGGTTCAGTCCTTGGACCCCTCATATTTAATATGTACATGCTCCAGTTGGCTCAGAAAGTTTTTCTCTTATTACCACAATGACAATAACTAGGTATAGCAAAGGCTGGGTCAGAATTTAGTTCTTCTCAATGAAAGTACAACTTCTGCAAAACAAAAATAAAAACAATTCAAAAAGAAGGTGCATGTGAAGAACAGAGTGGTGTTGTGTGTGTCCTCACTGTCTGGGGGGGTTCCTGGTGTGTGTGCTGTGCGCTGAAGTGCTCCAGGACCTCCTGGTGATCGCTGCGGTTCACATTGTTGCCGTTGACCTTCAGGATGACCTGGCCGGGCTGAAGCCCTGCTGCGGCCGCTTCCCAGCCTGCAGGAGGTCAAAGCAAAACCACAATGTAAAACGCACTGTGGCAGAACCAGAGTTACAGCAGACATACAAAAAAAAGTGTTTTAATGCCATCTCTGCCAGAGTATTCATAACCGATTAACTTTTTCACATTTTGAAAAGTTATTTCTACAAACCTCAACATATTTCATTTATGTGAAACACAAAAAGTTATCTGTATTTGTAAACTGGAAGGAAAATAATTTTTTAACAAGTTTGCAAATAAAAATTGTGGCATCCATTTGCAATTATTCCCCCATTAAAGAAAGGCACTCCGACAGCATAATGCTGCCACCACCATGTTTTTACTATAAGCATACTAAAGGTCAGATTTGTGGAGTGAACAACTAATATTTGCTCCACCAATAGATAAACTGTGGATTTCTGCAGGATTGCAAAGAACAGCTGAAATTATACTGGGATTAAATTCCAGACAGACTAACAATTTTTATTAGGTGACCTTTCCAAAGTACAGGTTTTAGGCCTAAAAGGAGGGTGAAGGGAAAAACATGCATATTCCACTTCATAATAACGCCTTGCTTTGTCTCGGTCTATCACAAAAATCCACCTGAACTACACAGAAGTGTCTGGTTTTAGGCCTGTCACAATAACAAATTTTGCTGGGCGACTAATTGTCTCAAAAATTATTGCGATAAACGATAATATTATTTGAAGACCATTTTTAACTGATGTAATGGTAATGACATAATAATGCAAGCGATATCCTGCCAAAAATAGATACACTTTACTTTCAAAAGAACACTAAACACTGGAACTGTCCACCTGTCAACTAAATAAACAAAACAACCAAAAACCAAAATAAAATGGACTCTGTCTCCATTAACAAAAAATGCACTTGAATAAAAACTAAACATAAAATGGAAATAAAAACTACATTCAACAAAAAAAGTACAGATTATGAAATATGTATACTATATTGCCCTTCAGTAATTAATAGATTTAGATAGAGAAGATGGGCACATCCCACTATCTGATGCAATAGTTCACTCCTCTCTTAAGCCCAGTTCACACTGCACGATTTTCTTTTGCCCCGATTTCCCCCTTACGACAATCTTAGAACGTCCAACAATCGTAACCGATCATCCCGTAGTATGTGGTGTGTTACGACTGATCGGGTCCAGTTGGTAGAACGTCAGGACCGCTCCGATCTAAATCAGGCATACTCAACATGTTGGATTGTCTTGGCCAGTTTATCAGCGAGGGGGGGGTTCTCCAACTGGGAGCGAGAACGCAGCCTGTTGAATGTGACAGGTAGTCAATCAGAAAGTACGGATTCCCCTTCGTGCTTTCTGAGTGGAAAGCATGAAGGGGAATCCCAAACACCTGACACGGCGCAACCCGAAGTCCAGCGGACATCGGAGATGATATGTGGAAACAACATTAATGTTTATTCAACATTTCATGAGAGGAATATCCACAGAAATGACAAAGAGAGGAGTTGGAGCGAAAATGTTACCGCAGTTGATAAACCGGTAACATTTCAGCTGTTTATCGTTAACGTGACATAAATAGGTTATAATGATAAGGCTATTTATTCAGCCGCGTTCGTTTACTTTAAATTCACGTGTGATATAATGTGAGCTGAGCATTACACTAAGGAAATGAGGAAGGGAGGGTCAGTGGAGAGCACCGGAGTTGAGCCTTTTTTCATTCAGTGTCATCAATAGGAAGAAAAAGGCAGGCAGAAACGATAAAGCCGGCCAATTAAAATAAGGTTGATAATTTTAATTTATCATGCGATTAATTGATTTATTGTTTATCGTGACAGGCCTAAAATGTCACAAAATGTAACAAAATTAAACATTTGCTTGAATAAATCCAAATATCTTTTCTAAATCTGTGATGTGGCACTTAGAGGAAAGCAGCAAATGAATGTGTTCAGTGACATCACATGAGGTTTCACAGCCTGGAAGTCCAATCAACACCTCCATCATTTCTCCTCACTAATCTAAAAATACAAGTGATGCCTTCACTTCCAGCAACTCTGGGGCAACTCAACCAGCTGTGGACCCAGTATAAGAGGAGAAAATACTGGACTCTGACCCACTGGCATATTGGAAAAAAGACAAAGCTCAATCACCAACAGAGTCAGAGGTTATGTAGGGAAGAGAGAAGAGAGAGTGAGGTGAAAGCAGAGAAGTCATAAAGTGAAACCAAGGTATTGCATTCCTTAACTCTGTGACTCTTTTCAACATGTTTGTCCTCCTGCTTGTGCCTAACTTCCACCACAGATCTGTCCATAATTTCTCATGTCCAGGGGTGAAAGTAGTTTTAAATTCTTGGGGGTACTATGACACAAGAGTATATATATTTATATATATATATATATAAA